GTCTCCTCTGCTTCTTCTGTGGCTGGTCCACATTCTTCATTTGCCGTGAAATTGCGCTTTACGAAGGTGGAGAACCTCCTTTCGCTGACGAACCAGCGACTGATCGAGGTAACCGATAAAGTTTCGTCGGCGAGACAACGCTTGAAGGATAACTGACAAATCGTTCGCAAAGTTTACGATTTTGCATGGCACCACGAAAACTCGCCTGGGGATGCAATCGAGAATCGGATCTATCAATTGAATTGGGCTCCGCAAACTCTCCATCCTGCTGCGGCTGCTTTTGCTGATGATGTGGGGCCTTCTGCCAAGTGATCTCGCATTGTTTCAGGCGCTCCCGATTATTTTCGTCATTTCCAAAGACGAAGCTGAAGCAATGACGTCAAAGGGTTCAGCCTTCGACTCTCAAGCCGATCCAAAGCCACCTACGAATAAGACTACGTAACATCTAGGTTGAAAATCGCGTCGTCGCGATAGTAGGGCTTGAGGAACCCTTTAGCCAGCTTGGCAGGTCGATAGTGCTAGCATTTCCATGGCATGATACTACTCGAGATGGACCGGTGAAGAAAGGTAAAAGCGTCGAGCTTCCCAAGTAGAGATTCTCAAGGCAAAATGTCTTCTATTGTGGGGGATCATGTACTACTGTACTAAGTAGTACAGTACATAATCCCCTACAATGAAAGACATTTGCCTTGAGAATCTCGTCTATCTGCGTACTTCTTTTGCAAATTTTGCGCTTTCGCCATTGCACATCGCACCCATGTGATCACATTCACACGACTCATGATTAATGAGTCCAGGCGTCCTTGTGCGTGCACTTCACATGGGCCTCATTGATTGTATCAATTTGAGAGGCAACGATTTACCGAGACCCTCCCCTACCTACCACCCATCGTACAAAGCGATACTTGCGGGTGTCGCAAGCCATTCATAAAAAGTGGCGTAAATCCAACGGATAAATGAATTGAATCGTTCATAGCAAACTCAACCAATAGTAACAACGAACGCCATTCCGCGGGACGTTTTGCACAGAAGCGTCTGAACACATCACCTTCCACTCGAATGACATGTTCGGTTTGCCCGTCGGTCTCCGGTTGTACCGCAGTAGACATATCCAAGCAAGTTTCAGGAGTTCTTTTTAAAAGTCACTCATCGATCAAGTATCACAATCAGAGACGATGGCGTCTGGCAACGCGTAATTGCAAAAAACTTGATCAATGAACATTCTAGCCAAACCTTCGGCATTGATGAAATCGCTGCACAGAGCGACGTGTACCTTCTTACTGAGTCTGTCAACAAAGACAAGCACCCCCATTGTGGCCATATATATTATCGGAGGAAGCCAAAAATAAAGCCAAGAGCGACTGACTTCCAACAGTTAGTTAGAACAGTAATACTCTGCAGTGGCACTTGCGCTGCCGTGTGCTCTTCACGCGCTGACAAACATCGCATGTCTTCATGTTTCGTGCAACCCACTTGTACATGTGGGCACCAAAAGTGGGTACTGAGAGACTGGTAGGTCTTCTCACGGCCAAAGTGACCGGCGACCAGCGTATGCAGACTCTTTTGTACTTCAAATCATCGTTGTGAAGAACTGCAATTCGTGGCTCGTCGTCAGGTGCAATTCTTTAGTAAAGGAGATCATCGTTCCATGCGTATCGATGCAATCTTGATTTTAAGCGACCAGGGAGCTTGTCATCAAATTCCATATCACTAATTAACATTGCCCTGATGATCATTCACTTTGTTCATCCTCAACATACGCTCGAGGAGTTATCGAATATTTCTAAAAAGCTAATATGAACTAGCCCATAATCAGATGGACGTGACAATGCGTCTGCACAGCACGTTCAGTTTCCTTGGCTTGTACGCGATCGTGAAGATGTATTCTGCGAAGAATAACAACCAGCGAGCCATTCGCTGTGACAAGTGAGATTACTGAATTGCATAACGCAAGCTTGCGTGATCCGTGTAGATGATAAACGGAGTTGAACCCAAGAGGTGAACACAAAAACTCACCAGAGCATGTATCATTGCCAGAAGATCCATGTCGTAAATAGGGTAGTTCTTTTGTGCTAGCTCCAGCTGTTGCGATTGAAACAACAGGACACAATCGTGTCCTTCTGTGTTCTTTGCAATAGTGCACAACCAATTGCAAACTCAGAAGCGTCACACACCACGCTATACAGCTTCGTATTATCTGGTGAAGCAAGTAAGGGTGCTTCCATCAAGATGTTCTTGATTTGAGTGAATGCATCTTCATAAGGGGATGACCACTCCCGTGATACGTCATTTTTCAACAATATTGATAGCGAACGTACCATGACCGCGTAGCTACGCGAGAAGTGATACAGGTAATTAAACAAACCAATCTATCTGCTCAAATCCCTTCGATTTCGTGGTGTCAACCACTCCACGATTGCTTTGACCTTCTCAAAGTCTGCACGAACACTGTGTTCACTAACATAACCGAGGGCCGGTGCTTCGAAAGCACCGAAAATACACTTGGCAAGATTCGCTTGAAATGCACGTTCATACATACATTCCAGCACCGCACGGAGGTGCTTCAACTCCACTTCCTCGGCAGATCTGCCATCTTCATCCTTCGAGTAAACAAAAATATCGTCAAAGTATGTTTGTGCGAAGCGTCGCAGTGGTCAAAACAGATGTGAGACCAATCGATTAAATTTTGTTGGGGCATCGGATAGTCCTTGTGGTATCACAAGCCACTCCCATAACATACTGGATGGCGTACTAACAGCCGCCAACGGGACGTCCTCCTCCTCCATCAAATTTGGAATTATTCATCGACAAAATCAAGTACACTAAATTGTGTACAGTCGGACACACGGTGGATGATAGCATTCTTTTCCGGAATCAGTGTTGACGCGTAAGTCGTCTGTGCATTCAACTTGTTATAGACGTGAACAATACACTATTTAGCATTTCATTTACGCACACAAAACGTCGGCTTGCTGTGGGGGGACTTGATCTTCCTCACCAAACCAGCAGCTTGCTTTCGAGCAAAAAGCTTATCGATATACTCACTTTGCTCACGCGACAGCGGCCATTGTCAAAGCACTGCATGCTTTGAACAGAGCCATGATCCATTTTGTTTCGAAACCCACGTTCGGGTGAAGACTAGAGGGCGGGCTCAGACTAAGAGCGTCATACTGTATTCCGTGACGAGTGAATAAAATTAGAATAAGCTTGATCCTTCAAAAAAGCCAATCCTCAGCGTGATATCAAAGTTCCTCGAGAACCGAATCATCCATAACTGATGAAGAGCGTATTTCCGCTGCGTCGACCTTCGACAGTAGCAACACGACCTCCGTGATGTCATCAAACTTGAGGTCGTGTAGGAAATTATCATAAGTGACTTTTTTGAGATGGACCAGCTTTTCTATTGTCGTCCACGGGGTCAAAAAGAACATCTGTTTTTGTAGCATCACAACCAGCCGTTGCATCCACAATACGTGAGGCAGCATATTCGCATGCTATATTCTATCACGGGGAGTAGGACGCCGGACTAAACCCGCGAGCTCAATTCCATCCAGAGCGGGCGTATCAACACCGCGATAAAGAAATTCCGTTGAATGCTTCACTTGTGTGTGCTTAACCACACAACTAGTGGAAGCATCACCTTTGTGGTCAGTTGTATCAGCTGACCCACAATCCGACTCAACCACTGTATTAGTGGAGGTATTAGCAAATCGTTTTCTTCGACTTTCCATTTCACACATTCTTCTTGCTTGAAATGGACAACAACCGGAGTCTCTCCATGAAAAGTCCTTACGGTGGTTAAATCGCCATGCCCACCAACGATTCATTCGTTTCCAAGCGGCTAGTTCCGGGCACCACTTGATCCATAGAAAACGTATACAGTGACCACCCGTGGACACTCCATAGAATTCCGTATCTTCGCTCAACTAAGTAATGTCAATTGCATGTGTATTATGAATACACCTTTTATCAGACCATACCGATTGTTCATCTCAATGACTGTAAATACCTTCTTCGAGGTGATGTCTTCGAGATTTACTTGGAGATCAAACATGATTTTCTTCGTGGTGACCGCCGCACCAGCGGCCAACTCAACTGAAATAAAGTCATTGCTTAGCTCATATCTAGTGCATGCGAAAGCACTAATTTGTGTAAGCAAAATTTTGCTTCCGCGCATTGTTTTGTGATGATCCAGGGTCATTCAAGACACTAAACGGATCATCGTTACCCAACACACTCGCTGTGACGACGAAGAGACCGCTCCAACTCGTATCTGTAACGAAGGACAACGATCCCTCGAGGACAAAATCTTCTTGAGTGATTCTACCACCACACTCACATGCGCTTAGTTATGCCCCAGCAGACCGCCATGCATCTACTGGGTTCCGGTATTTTCCGAACGCCTCGTGGTATTGGTATCACGTGACTCGGGACCATTACGATGAGAACCGTATTATAGGTTCGTCACTCACATGGACAATTACGGCGGATGTGACCGAATTGTTGACATCCAAAACAGCGAACTTGCCGCCCACTAACAGTCACCGCGCTAAGGTTTGTTGACCCCGGGAACCCGGTAGCAGCAGTCACTGCATCCATCGGATTGACCGATTGACCACATGCTTGACGTTGACAATAGTCCTTACGCAATGCAATCGTAAATGCATCTCCCAGAGTCGTCGGACTTTGGCGGATGACTTCAGCCTTAGTAGAACAGGAAATAAGTCCATATAAAGACACGGTGACCATCACTGCCTCTGGCAGTGGTTCACTTGCTATACTGGCACGAAGCTCACGGAGCGTCTGTACAT